GATATTTTCTATCTAATAGTGGCAAACTATGTATTGTATAATCCTGTTAGTTGTAACACTGTTTTGACAAGATGTCTGCACGTGGAACGCTTTCTTTTTTAATAGACGTTTACCAGATAGACAAACATCCGAAACAATACGCGAACGTTTGCGGGATCCTGGTTAATTTCGAGAACGTATTTTTATCGACACCCGGAATTTTTAAACGTATCGGAAGGTCAATGGGAAGGCGTTTAGAAGTTTCTATCGACGCCCACGAGTATTTTCTTTGAGGAAAGATTCCGGTAGAATTTTACGTTAGAACAGCTTGCAGCGACAACCGCGAATGTAAAAATATAAAAACGTATTATTAAGATATAAAAATGCTCCCATAGAAAGTCTTTAAATATCTAAGTCCTTAAACTTCAATAAAAATTGTTGAAACAAATTTTAAATTGTCGTCACATTCGTTGATTGGTGTCAGGTTAAATTAAATAGAAAAATCAGGATACAATTTTCAATTTTATATTATAATACGATATAGAATATTTGTATTAATTCGGTACCTTTTCTAAGGTAAACTTACTATTTATTTTTAAAGAAAAATCACACAACTTTTCATTCTTCCTGAATCACACATTCCAAAAGAGAACATATACAGTGGGTGTAGAATGTATTCGTACATCCATCAATTTCCCAAAAAACTATTGTGTGAAATTGTGGTTTATTATCTCTTTTTTTTATAATTAATGATATTCTACATATTCTCGGAAATCTCTAGAATATAGTTCAAACAACAATTACTAGTTTATATAATTTGCGAAATTAACAAGAAAATACGAAAAATTGGTAGAAATATAGAAGCAATAAGTATTCGCACGGTTCTTATGACGAACAATTTACAGTAGAATTTGTAACATAAGCACATCGGTTTATTGCCTCGTGAGAATTAGGAAACATTAAATTTCCAGTAAAAAAGACTTAAAAAATGCTCTAATAAAGGAATGAAAGAAGATCCCACCCTAAATAACATCGACATTTATGATAGTTAATTTAATGTCTAGAAGAGTTACAGGAATTATAAAATCAAAAGGAAATCCCACAAAGTATTAATTATTTATAAATTAATGTAAATTTCGTTTTCTTTTTAAATGAAGTTTTAAAAATTTAATACTTGTACGAATACTTATTGCTTCTGTATTTCTATCGATTTATTGTTTTTTCTTGTTGATTTCTCACTTATACAAAATACCTAATCTTTTCGTGCTGTATCTATTCTAGAGATTTCCAAAAATATGTAGAATATCATTGTTTATAACAAGAAAGTTAATAAATTACAATTTCACACAAAAGTTTTTTGGGAAATTTATCAGTGTATGAATACATTCTACACCCACTGTAGTTATGATCATAACATATATTTCCATATGTAGCACATATAGTTTCATTATTATGAAGGTTGATATTCTAACATAAAAACAAATGGTCCATAAATATTTAACTTTAGTTATAAATAATTATGTAAACGTAAAGACACAGAATTAATTTCTCTACTGTATTACGTCTATACGTTTTGTATATGTACCAAGGGTCAATGTAGCGTGCAGACTTGTCGCTTGACTTGCACTTAGATTCAAATCGCATGCCATAAATGGGACTGCAACTAGAACCACTGGAGAAACACAAGCTTCTGCGAACGCGCAGGCGCTGCATAATCCAATTATGAAGTAATGACACGGACCCCATCCTGCAATCAAATTATACGATATCTTTCTTGTGATTAAAGTAAACATCTAAAATAGGGAACAAACATTTTACAGAAATTTAGAAACTGTTTTACACATGTTATAAACATTCTTTAATCCATTGAAAAGAATCGTATACTATAGAAAAACTAATGTTTTCATCTTCACGATTATTTAGTTATTCATTAAGTTACCGAAACAGCATAGATTTTAATATACTTTTCAATAAAAAACTGATGTATAACAAAAAACATTATTTCATCTATTACAATTTTTTTTTTTTTAGATATTCTATAAACATTTTAACCTGTTCTGGCTATTATATTTTCGCAGTCATTGGTCATTATACATTGCAAAATTTAACGCTAATAGTGACTCGCGGTACAGCATTTGCTAAATTGAAATATTCAATGAAATGTACAGGTATGGCGTCATTTGTGAAATAATTATGTACATTCGATGATTGTAACGTACACGTTCTTTAGTCTTGATATATTATAAAAATTGGTCCGATATCGAAATCACTTGACGTTCGATAATGACAAACTTCGTGTAATAAATATCATAACGAAAAAACATTCGAGCACTGCGTTCGCGATTTATATCAATTAAAGACCCTCTAATAACAGTCGCGAAATAACATCGAGGATAAGACAGGCTCATCAAACGCATTAAACATAAAATTTTTTAAACCCATGCAAATCATAAAATTATACCCATACATTGCATTATTCGTTAAGATGCACTATGCATAAATATTTTAAAAATCGATCATGTTATAAATATAATTGTAAAATCATTGAATTTCCGACGATTAAAAGGATTAAATCACAGGCAATTTATTAATCCCCTTGAAGAATTAAATACCAGTCATTTAGATGTACTATGCCCCAATAAAATCCGTTGGTCAAGTTTGGAAAAAGTTTTGAAATGTGTGTCTGGGACCTTCAGAGCGGAAATAAAAATATTTTTAATGCTTAAAGAAAACGAGGATTTTCCTGAATTATTAGATCCAAATTGGATTTGTGATTTAGCATTTTCTTTGGAAATTCTTACACATATCAACAACTTTAACACATGTTTCCAAGGAAAAAATTTATTTGCTTATGATTTAATACAGATATTAAGAGCTTTTAAAATTAAGAGCCTTTTCTCTACAAATCTGACTGAATGTAAATTTGATCGTTTTCCAACGTTACAGACCATATCCTTAAATATTTTAAAAGAAAAGGCACAAACATTTAATAAAAATATCCTTGCACTAATAACAGATTTCGAGTAGAGATTCGATTGCTTAACAAAAAAATTGATAAAATTTTATCTATTATTCGAAATCCATTTTCTGTAAAAGTTGATGACGTTCCTGTTAATATACAATTAGAAATAATTAATTCACAATGTGATGAATTGTTACATGAGAAATATCGAGAAGAGCAAGAAAATTTGTGTAATTTTTATAAGCAATTGAATAATTAAAAAATATGAAAATTTAAAAAAACTTTTCAGGACGTATTTAATAATCTTTAATTTTATTTTTGAACAGAACTTTTCTTTAATGAATCTAAATAAAAGTACAACAAGATCAAAAGATCGAATGATTTACATTTGGAGTCTGTGTTAAGAATAGCTATTACAAGTATAAAATCAGATATTAAAAATATAATAAGGGATGAAAGCCGCCTCAACACGTCGCATTAGTTATTATGTTAATTTGTTGTATTGCTTTACTTATAATTATTCATAAACAAATTTCATAATAAACTTTGTTTACTTAAAAAAATAAGTATTTTGCTTAACATTTTAATATTTCGTTCGTCCTGTGAAAATATGTTTTTTCAAACCGGCCCGAGGGCAAAAAGTAGTTGGCTATGCAGGGCTGGCGTCACCTTTTGCGAGGCCGAGTTCAAAAATTTTGCGGGGCCTGAATTCACATTCAAATCTTACACTTACATTTTACAACGAGGAATTATATATTTACAAATGCTATATATTTTTTATAAGAGGAATATTAAATAATAATACTTTGATGATTTTTGTTACTCCTTTCAATTTAATCATCGCTACTAAAAAAATGTTTCGCATTTCAGAAAAAATTGCTTCCATTTGTTAATGGTATCATCATTCTGTAAAAAGTTAATCAAAATCGGTGCCTTTTGATTGAGTAATTTTCGTAGACCGCGGGGCCTTTTAAAACGCGGAGCCGGGTTCCGGCATGTGGAAACAGTGTGTAGATTGACGATATAATAACAGCAGAAAAGACGACGGCAGCGCCGCAACGGAAAGCGCGATAGCGAAGTAGCCATATTGTCATTCAAATCATCAAGATTTCACAGCAACGAAGCTGAATAAGTTATTCGAAGTGAAGAAGCAATATTTTCTCACGATTATTTTTCTAAAATATTCTTGGTACCATTCCACGTGCAACACCAGACACTGATTTTGCAATTTCAGCCTTAAAACTTTATGAACAATAAAAATGACGTTTTCATAGAAGAAACTTTTTTACATACACTTTTTCCAAAATAATGTCCGGCGTTGCATGCGGAGTGGTATCAAAAATATTTTAGAAGAAGAATTATTAGAAAATATTGTTTTTCGCTTCAAACAACTTGAACAGCTACATGGAAAAATTATTTTATAGCCTATCGCCCTGTTCTTGTCTCTCCTCCGATTTTTGTATCTCCCTCTCATAGCATTATTGGAGAGACAAGGATTTATCCCTGTCTGGGAGCTTCCTATTTTTTGCGCAATTATCGCTAAATTCATAAACAAGATTTGACTAGACCTTTGGCTCTGTAAAATTACTCTGTACGTATCTCAACTTTGAAGTATAGTCAAAGATCTGAACAAAGAACAGCCCCTTGTTCCTTGTCGATACATACTGCACTGTTGCAGTCACGTGGTTCTATTTACACGCACTTTATCTTTATATTGGACAATAAAGAATTGCGTTTACCTAAAAAAAGAAAAAGATAATAGAATTGTTAATAATGTACTGTCACTCATGGCAAATTCGAGTAAGTAAAACCTAGTTATGGTTATTGATATCTAGCCCATATTTTAAATCGCGAGCCAATCAGAGTCAAGAATAATCTTCTAATACTGTAATAAACGTACATCGAAATAGATCATAAAAAGAAATAAAAACAGATAATATATGTTTTTCCTCTATAGTTGAATGTCTTAAATACAAGTAATATATAATAATAGAGTTAAAAAGTAAAACTGATAGTGTATCTGTAAATAATTGGACATCAATATACTAAATTGCAATAGAGGGCAGTGTAGTCTGCAGATGGAGTTGAGTACGTATATACGTAACTTACTTATACCGAAACCGGTTGCCGGTTAGACATTTCTTTGTTGGCAAGTGAATAGTTTGGGTGACGTGTAAAACGGTCAGTAAGCAACAGTTTACTGTAAATAAAAGAAGGTATTATTTTCATACTACTTAAACCGAATTCTAAAGTACACGTTCGTGTTCTATTGATTTTTTAAATTTATTCATCTCTTCACTTGTTTTCGCATACATTAGAACTAACATTAATACACAATTGCGAAAGAGTATTGCGAAAAGTAACGCAACACTTTAATTCTAAGAAATGCAAAGGACGATGATTTTTTGCTATTGCGTTAAATACAAACTCGAGGTTACGTAACTGAATTCTCATTGCACTTGACCTCTTCACTTATGATTCGGATCTACTTATTACAGCTTTTCTAATTATGTTAGTCTTCGTTGCGCTAAGTAAAGATTGTTATCAAGAACTATTGATTACCACTTCCATTGCTAAAAGATCATTTCATCGATGGCATGTTGTAAACTGCTGAGTAATACATGAAATTGAATTAATTAAATGTATCACGAACCATTTAAAAGCGCAGTAAACACAATTTATGTACTTTTTTGTTAAGTATGAAATTTTAAGGAAAGAAATGTTTTATTGTGTATTCTTTTGCGTATCTAGGTTACAGTGAACGAGAATGTAAAATTCCATTAGAATCTTTAAGAGATATTTACGTTTTTATTTTAATCGGAAAAATTGCGATATCAACCGACATTTTGACCATGTTTGTTTGGCCCATCATGGTAACCTTGAAGGTTACGATAAACATTATGATATTTCTTTAAATATCATTAATCTATCATTAAAAACTGCCGATTTTCAAAAAACACATAGCAAAAATATATCAAGTTTATCGTAATCTACAATTATAACCTTGAAGGTGACCAAAGTATTGTCGAAATTTCGGTTGATGTCGTTATATTTCAAATGTAGGTAAAAACGAATGTATGTCTTTGAGATTCTACGGAAAATGTTAAAGTACTTAATACAATATTTACAATACATCTATAAATTAACTGTAATTAATTAATTACTAGAATTAAAATTTCTTTAATAATTAGATCCACTTTTTTTAATCATTACAGTTTCCTATGTTTTTAAACATGTATTCTGGAACATACTTTTAAAAATATGCTAGTACAGTTATATAGTAGTTACAGAGGAGTAATTGTGCTTGAATATTATCTTGCCTTTTACGTACCTGCTTATCGCTTTAATGAGTTTTAGTTCCTCAGTAACTTTATTCATAGATGCAAATAATGAAGAATAAATTAAAATCTAGATAATTTATAGTAAAAATTGAATTATTTTAGTATTCCATCTTCATTAAAAATCAAACATTTTTGAATTACAGAAATCTAGAAAGACATCATCATGCCAGTTCCAGCCATTCAGAAACCTGCCCCTGCTTTCCGTGGTACTGCAGTTGTGAATGGACAATTTAAAGATATCTCTCTTTCCGATTACAAAGGGAAATATGTTGTGCTATTCTTTTACCCATTAGACTTGTAAGTAGCTTGCTTCAAAATAATGCAGATTTATCATTCTACATATAAAAAGTGTATTATGTAATAATATGAAATATCTTATTCTACAGCACATTTGTATGTCCAACTGAAATTATTGCCTTCTCTGATCGTGCCCAAGAATTTGAGAATATTGGCTGTAAACTCATTGCAGCATCAACTGATTCTCACTTCAGTCACTTAGCATGGGTAAATACACCACGTAAGCAGGGTGGCCTTGGCGAAATGAATATTCCTCTTCTTGCTGATAAAAGTTCTAAAATCGCACGTGACTATGGTGTTCTTGATGAAGAAAGTGGTGTTCCATTCCGTGGTCTCTTTATCATAGATGATAAACAAAATTTACGTCAAGTTACTATCAATGATCTTCCAGTTGGCAGGTGAGATAATTATAGATCAATGTTTTCATGGTATAATTTATGAAATTCGTGATGGTACTTGTCTAATCAAATAAACTATTTTCAGATCTGTCGATGAGACTTTACGCTTGGTTCAAGCATTCCAATTTACTGATAAGCATGGAGAAGTATGTCCAGCTGGCTGGAAACCAGGAAAGAAAACAATGAAACCTGATGTTGTTGGTTCAAAGGAATATTTCAAGGATTCATAAACGAAGCAAATGAATATATCCATGTACCTTTTTGTCTCACCCATGTCTATTATATTTTATTTGTTACGAAAACCAACTGTAATTCCATAACTACATATGTTACTACAGTGTTGAAAGTAGCGATATCTTAAATATCAACGATAATAATTTCTTACAATAAATATATGTATTTTGTATGTCTTGGATCCTAATACCATTCATTTAAATATAGTATATTATATTATGTATTTATTGGGAAAGTCATGTTGCTTTGATACATGCAATAATTAATCTGCTTATAATAAACGAGAGTATCTCTATAAGATATCTTGGGAAATTAAACTATGTACATTCTGACATCTACATACATACAGCGTTCATGTCTGTCAGGAAGGTATGTACACTAGCGATGTTTATTCAAAAAGGATTTAATGAACTATGGAGTAACGAAATTTATATAAAGTTTGTGAAATTTTATGTCATCAAATTTTACATGTGAAAATTGCAAACACAACTTTGGAATCTTTTCAATTAAATAATGGGAATTACTCTGTAAGTAGTATTAACCGTTTGAGTGCCACGGGTCTTTCTTATTTCCTGATTGAAAATTGCCAAGGGATGCAATAGCGCTTGACATATTCCGTTTTCAGTTTACACGCAATAAATATTTCCTACAGTTCATTTTTGTTCCGATATTCTCTTGTGCATCAGTTTTTAGTGACATCAGTGCCCCAAGCTTTTGGCACCCGTCATACCTCGTTCTACTTGTTTTGATGTGGCGAATACGAATATTATTTTCGTTTTTGGCGCAGATTCTGAATTTCCGAAATATTTGCAAAAAAACTTTAGATATTACACATTGAATTCTGTCTACTATAGATGTGCGCTGCGACATCACATGCGTCAGTATTGGTTGCCATTGGTTGCCATTGGTTGCCATCTACTGGCCACTTCTTCTATTTAGAAACGAGGGAAATGTCGGTATTTATTGAGATTAGGTAATTCCTCACCGATTTTGATGAAATTTATAAATGAAATGATAAATGTATGAAACAATAAAATGATAAGAGCATGTGTTAATATATCAATTTTATCACTTTTATGAATAGTTATTTAATGCAGGAATAATTATCGATCCTTTAGCTAGTGGTGGCATCTACCAGCAACAGTGGGTACTATTTTCACTAAAAACTTGGGCGTTTACTCATCGATGGCGACACTGGTATTAAAACCCGCAGAGCAACTTGGTGAGCATTAGATACTAATATAAATTTATCGAAATACAGTTTAAACAAAATTTGATTAAAATGTATAAACTAATTACGTGTATGGGAGTTATTTATCCTTATCAAGAAGGATATTCTCATCAAGAAAGATGTCATCATAAGATTAGTATTTAAGTTGCGTTATTGAAGTAGTACCTAAATCGAAGTGCATAATTAGTTTGTAAGTTAAATTATACAATATTCTACGAAAGATTATGATTACAAATTCTAATATAGCAGTTACTAAACACATTATTGTTGAATTCCTAACAGAATTGAATTCCCAACAGAAACCTATGAAACAGAAATTACCAATCCAATATATAAAGTGTTTCGTTTAAAGAGGAATACTCAAATATCTCATGATGGGAGATATAACAAACAAATTAATTCCTTGTAACTTTTATATGTAATAATAACTTTATATATTTTATATATTTTTATCCATAATAACATAGTATTTGTTCAGACAAATTCATCGCCCATCGTACCATTTTTAAGTGATAACCTGTAAGTTGCTTGTTCAATAAACGAACTTAATTTCTCGTTAACGGAAAGCTTGTGTGTGATTTCATTAAAAAGTAAGTACAGATTTAGTTGGCCGAAGAGAAAGAGAAAGTACATAGTGAAATCTTCGACTATGTAAATGGATACGTGTTTACATGATGCATGTGCACATTTCCTGCCACTGACAAGACTTAGCTTTTAGGGCAGATAGTAGCATAGGATATAAAGGGAATGAAAAGTACTCACTGTCGTTTTAGTTCTTCGTAAAGCTTCCCGGAATGTTGGTCAGCGTCGACGATATTATCATCCTTTACTTGGTGATGTGTTATTGCTTTTCATATTTTCTACGGTTTGTTTAAAAGCTTTCTCAACCATTAAACGTGTTTCTCATATAGTTTTGGTATATTATTCGAGGAGCACAGCGGTGTTTATTTTCTGAAATTAATTCTGTACGACGATTTCTATTTTTGACTACGAAATTAATACTGCAGACCTTCGTATAACACGGAAACTACGTTTAGCGAAATACGAAACTCAGAATTCATATAAACAATAAAGAAAAACTATTAATTTTTCCCATTACATGGTAGTATAACGTATATTTAGTAACAGAAATCGTAAAGAGAAAAATTATTTACAATATTGTCAGAAGTTTTTGATATTTCAATAATTTGGTATTATCGAATGTTAACGTAACATTAACAAGCAACTAAGACAATTTTAAAAAAAAACAAGTCGAGTTATTCTAACATTTATTGCAACATAACAACTTGTGTATTTATTCATTGAATTTCTATCGAATCTGAACATAAAATGAGTGCCAAAAAATGAAATGATAAAATACTAAAATATATTATTAAACGTTAACGTAATACTGATATAAAATTTATTATATATTAATAATCATACTTTAAAACCTGTTGCGTGGAACGTACGTGTATTAAAATATTAAAAACTTTTCGTTGTTTTAAAAAGTGTTGTAGAAAATTGTGAAAATGTAACGTAAAAATTGTTTAATTCAGGTAACGTTGGTCTGCTTGTCGAGTGGTATACTAACAACAAAAGTGTCTCGGGATTTCCAACCACCTACGGGATTACTGTCCCCGCCTGTTAGTTACCTTCCAACCACGAACACTGGATACCCAAAACTTTCGCAACATGCTGTTTTTGTTAATCGAGCTTTGGACAATGGCCTGGAAGACGTTAGAGTTTCACGTGGAGGCTATCGCGAGGCACAAGTACAAGATGGATATTCATATTTAAAACCACTATCGATCAACCTCGAGTTACCCACAAAAGATCAGAAGATTAAATTATTTACGGACAAACGAACGTAAGAATTCACGTTTAAAGCATAAACTCAGTGTTCTACTATTGAGAAATTATTTATAATTATTTGTCATACGTTATTTATAAGACCTTGTAGGTATGCTTTTAATATTAATAACTAATTACAATCAATTTCTAATCGTGGCTTTCTGGCAGTAATTATTTCTTTATATGCACGTATCACTTGAAAAATGATCATTTATTTTCCCAAATGTCAACTATACTTTCATTCTGTCTGAAAATTAACTAAAATTAATACCATTGCAAAAATAGGAGGCACTTTCAGAGTGCTTGTAGAGGAAGACATTTTTTTTTTAAAGGCAAATAACATTTTATCAAGTAATGTTTTCTTTACAAGCATGCTTAAATTAAAAAAAAAAATTTTTAACTATCAACAATAAATGATTTCAATTATCATATGAGATCACGTATCGTAATATAAAGCCATAAATTCGAGATTTTATTGTGAGAACATTTAATGCAACTCGCCGATCGGTCTTGTAGCACCAGTTGCCAAGTATGAGGGGTACCAATTTGCACCTAGTAGATGGCAATCGGTGCTACAGACTGACTAGCGGGTTGCATTAAATCTACTTACGCTTGTAAGGCTAAAAACAACCATATTTAGAATTTATATTACAATAAATGATCTCATGTGATGAGTCGATGAACTTCTCTAAATAAATGCTATCTTATGGATGAAAATATCCAGGTTGTTTCCTCTTACGAAAATCCCCCTGACAGGTGGCAACCAGTGCTACAGACCAATTGGAAGGTTAATTAAATTTAGCGAGATTAAAAACTCCAATTTAAAGCTTTATATTACAATGAATGCATTCATATAATAAGTCGATAAATTTGACTAAATATACAGATATAGAAATTCTTATATTAAATGTATAGATTCTTGTATCAAATATATGGTACCATTTAAACAAATTAATTTGTTTTTAAAATTTTCCCCAGCATTTCACTTCCAACATTATTTACTCAATATGATGTCCCTCTTTGTACCAAATAACTTTTATAAAAACATTTTTTGATAACTTCATCTATGTATAATATAGATTAGTTAATATTGCATATAATTTCGTATATGTATGTGTATATACGTTATAATTTATATATATATATATATATATATATATATATATTTTCTTAGAAAGATTACACGTATATATATTTATATTTTTTTTTTGTATTGATCATATAGGTTTGAATAACGTATTGAATAATACGGACTATAATTTATACCTTCAGATCCCTCGAGAAAATGCAGAGTAACCATGAAACTGTATTGACAAGAGTCACAGAATCACCGAAACCCATCAGCGCATCGACTCAGCGATTGGAGATCAAAAATCACCCCTACGTTCCCCGGCAGGCGTCGTATCGAGTCGTAGAAGAGCTCGATGAATACCTAACGGATGATTTGGATCATACTCGATCCCCTTATCGTGGGAAAGTTCAGACAACGAATCCCAATCGCGGCGATACGCAAGACATAACGACGGTCATCAAAGCCCTCGATCACTTCCTGACCGGAGTTCTACACGACGACGGTTACAACAGCGAGTTACATCCACCGCCCAACCCTGTTTTAGCCCTCATCCTGTCACGATACGGACGATACGTGCTCGGGGCACGAAATCCACGCGTATACGCGCACATGGCTGTAAACAATATTCATAACAACAAACCCTTTGGTAGTTATAAGTTGGAATGTGAAGAAGTGCCAACTTACGTTCGATAACGATGGTCTTTTAGACAGGGATTTTTTGTGCCTTTTAGACAGGATGTACTGTATTAACATCGTTTATAAATAGTTTTGTACTTGCATTATTAGAAAGTCCATGTTTTGTTTTGAATAAAATACCGATGTTTGGAAAGAATTAATTAAAATTTGAACTAACTTTGTTGACAATTTAGTAAATAATGTATTGTCAGAGCCTTTGTGAAGAGTCTGTGAATGTTTTGGCGAAAGAAGTGGTTGTCTCTCGATCTTAGTTTCCGAGATACAATTATTTAAAATATTGCGCCTTAATGAGCGTAAGGTTAAGACGGCCGTGAACACCGGGTTGCCTTACGCCAGGGGC